AAATATATTCATCATGATGGTAATCACAGATCCCGGGGTATATTAAGCCATCACAATGAATATATTTTCTTCAGTGATATTCAATGAATATCAGTGCCCTTTATAGCCTTACTTTTATAATAGAATAGCCTTTAACAGAACATGAAGCAGAAAAAGGAAAGGAACATACACTGAGTGCTTACTATATGCATGTTTTAGACATCTACCCTGTCTTCTCATCTAGTCTTTGCAATAGCTATGTAAAATAGGCACTGCTCCTGACTTGAGATTTAGACACCGAGGCTCAGAGCAATCCACATAACCAATAGAGCAATCCACACAGCAAATGATCAAGAGGATAGCCCCAGTAATTGTCCCTGCTTTCTTTTTCTTCTCTCTTTGGTATTGTAATCATCTGCACTTAATGAAGAATAAAAAGATTAAATGGAATAAAAATTAAAGAAATAAAAATTTAAAAATTAAACAATAAAAGGAAAAAGAGTCACTCTCTTACCTCTCTGGATGGGCATGGAACTTCACCAGACTGCTATAGAGCTGTCTCTCTGCTTGTAAGGCCTCATTAAGCCGACTCCGTTCATCCACCAGTCCTTCTAGCATCAGCAGCAACTGAGGACAGAAGAGAAAAGCAATATGCAAATGGAAAAGTGAGACATGAAGCCACAGTTAATCCTGAGAAAGTGACAAAAAGAATGTATCAACAGTTACTATGACTAAAAATGCCCACTATCTTATTACTTAAGCTTTTTACAGTATTTTACAGTTTTCAAATCAATGACAAATTCACAAATGTTTTTACCTTTGAAACCCTGTAAGACAGAATTAAAACATGGGAGCAAGAAGAAAAAGAAGAAAAAGCCAGAACTGTAGGATAGAGACTAGGAAAAAGAGGTGAGAGAGAAAAAAAGGACAGGTGAAAGGACTTATTAGTATTCTTCATTCATTCAATAGATATTTATTTAGCACCTTCTATGTGACAGTCTCTGTTTCTGGGAAAAAACTTTCTATCAAGTGTGGGGAGAAGACATTCATCAACCACAGACATGTGTCACTGTGAGCTGTAACAAGTGCTATAAAGATGATGAGCTACGATAATGTATATCCTTAGATGCATCTAAGGTAGAGTTAAAAGCCAGACTGGAGTGAGATGAGCAGTTAGTGAGATGATAATGGAGACAGGAAGTGTAGGCAAGTAAGTCTTTTTGAAAAGTTTCGCACTGAAGAAAGGTTAGACACGGGGTAGTAGCTACAAAGGAATTTGGGGCAGAGGCAGGGTTTTTTTTTCTCTTTTTTTAAATAGGAGAGATCTGAACATGTTTAGATGTAAATAAGAAGGATTCAGTTAAGAGGGAGGTGACTTATGATGTGAGTGAGGGACAACTGACGCTATGTGTCCAAAAAGAACTTCTGCTTCTCTCAGAACTACATGTTTCAGAAAGACGCACCTATGGCTACTACTGACCACAGTAGGAAACTTTAGAGCACAGATTCTCTATGAAATATCATCAACTGATCCCTTCGTAACTATTTGAGACTGACAACTTTTCCATTGTTTATTTCACAGTAAAAAGAAATAAAATTTGTATTCCAATAACTTACCTGTTGTCTTCGGTTTCCTGAAATTTCTTGACTCTGGGATTCTACTGAAGCAACTTTTTCCCGAAGAAGTAAGACTTCTTGGGTCAGGCGCTCCATAGCTGGTACATCTTCAGGATCAACCAGTTGCATTTGCAGGTCCTAGAAGTTAAAAAATAAGCAAAGATATTAAAATAGTAATAAAAATTCTATTCAACAGAAGAGCAAGAAAACACTCTTGATTAGTCTGCTATACTTTCAAGTGAAATACTGATAAGCATGGGAGGAGGGACTCAGTGTATTCAAATACTGTTTGAAGATGCCCTACAGGTATTCTGAGCTGCAAACATTTCCAATAGTCTTTAAAAAGCTTTGAGAGACCTTTATGAGGTCTTCTTTAATCTGTATGTTCCTGGTCAGGGACTCCATATCGGCAGCTTGCACCTGTAGCTCTTCTTCTTGCACAGCCATCATAGACTGTAGAGCAGAAAGTTCCATCTGTGAAGAGAAAAAATCCTGAAGTTAATGGGCAGAGAAAACAATATGTGTCACATTTACATTTTAACACTGAGGCAAATACTTTTCCACATCCTATCACTATCAGCCAGTATTGCAAGAGAAAACTAGAACATGAATAAGGCTCTACTCGATCAAATCAATAAACCACACAGTGCGGTACCAAAGGATGTTTTATGGGAAGATGTAATAGTCGTTTTTAATGATATCCTTCACTTTAGTTAACACCATAAAACACATCAAATTCATTTAATTAATGAATTTATTATGATGCTTAAAAAAATTGGTCCCCATTAGCAGAAGCAAGAATAAAGTTTTTCTTTATGTAAGTACTTTGGCTAATAGATAAAAAATGACAGAATTAGAGTATCTCCATTTTGTAACCCTTAATGGATAAATCATCAAGCAGTAACAGCTGCTAACATCACAACAGATAACCAAACATTACATGTCTCCTGATGGAAAAACACACCATCAACTATGAAGAAATCTTACCAACAGTTAGCACTGCATGATCTCAACTTTCAGTGTTGTACCCTCTATGTTTCCTCACCAGAAAAATGACAGAAATATTTGATTATGACAAGGTCCGTTAAAAATCATGGTAATAACCATAGCTGCTAGCATTTAGTGGGTGCTTACTATGTCTCAGGCATTATAAGAAATGCACTGCATGATTTAACCTTTTTAACAAACCTAGTGATCTGGCTCCTGCCTACTTCTCCCACTTCAATATCTGCCAATTTTACTCATTATTCATGACTCTTAGGCACTCTAGACTTCTTCTGCTCTAGGAACATCAGACTTTCTCTGGACTCAGGGCCTTTACACCTGTTACTTCCTATACCTGAAATACCTTTCCCAGGCTGCCTCTTTCCCATCCTTAGGTCCCACCTTACATGTCATCTGTTCAAAGGAGCCTTCTTTAGCAACCCTATCCAAGGAGGCCCCTATTCATGTTACTTTTCGTTGTTTTTCTAATATTACTTATTATTATCTGTAATTATAATTTATAATTATAATAATGACATTATTTGTTTGTTTACTGTCTATATCTCCTCACTAGAAATTAATTACATAGCGCCAGGCACCTTGTTGATTCTGTTTATTCACATGTCATCTGTTCAAAGGAGCCTTCTTTAGCAACCCTATCCAAGGAGGCCCCTATTCATGTTACTTTTTGTTGTTTTTCTAATATTACTTATTATTATCTGTAATTATAATTTATAATTATAATAATGACATTATTTGTTTGTTTACTATCTATATCTCCTCACTAGAAATTAATTACATAGCGCCAGGCACCTTGTTGATTCTGTTTATTATCTCATCCCCAGTACTACACCTTGCTTAGAGAAGGAACCCATATATCTGATGAATAAATGAATGAATGAATCCTCACAAAAATCTTATAGGATAACTACTCTTCAATTTAAAGGTGAAATGATTTCTACTACTCAATGTACAGATGAAGTAATTGAGGCTAAGGAAAATTAAGAAACTTATTTGAAATTCACAAAGCCAGTAAGGTGTAGATCCAGAACCTGAACTCAGGGAAGCAGACTGAGAGCCATTAGGCTACAATGTCTTTCCTACAAATACTGCCATTCCATATAGCTTTTATGGTAATGGCAAATGATTTTAAGTAAACGTTTTAAATAAGTATTTTAAGATAATTCAAAAAACTAGGGGTGACACGTAAAAGAAAGCACCTCTTTCCTTAAACACATAAAATTTAAGTTATAAGCAATAAAAACTTTACTTATGCCATGCTGGCCAGCCACCAGAAAAAAAATTTTATTTATGTATCTTCTAATTCCATCGATGCTCATAGTATCATTGTGTGGGCTCATGATGATTTATAACTATACAAGTTATTTGATGGTTCTGGGCTACTACTGTGGAATATCAGAAGAAAATGCTTCTCCTAACATTTCCTTCTGCATTGAAGGAGCTCAGTATTGTAACTCCTGGCCTTTCCCCACCCTTTTACTCACTCATACCACTCAAGTAGAAATTATCTTAATAGTACTAATGTAAGAATAAACCAGGCATGCTTGAATAAGCTCCACCCTTCCTCTGCTTGGGAGACAGCTGCCAGTAGGAAGCCTGTTTTCACTACTGCTTTCCCAAGGGCAGGCTCTTCCTCACCACCACCAGGCCTGCCTAGGCCCACTGTTGCCTGTGACTGGGTAGCTAAGTCTACTTAATTCTGGGCATTGGCTAGCAGGACAACTTAGCTCCTGCATTAAGTTCTCTACCTAAGCCTTTGTCAGTCATAAAGTTGATAAAATATCAAACTATTTGCCACTACTTTACTTCTCAATTTGTTCAGATCTTGGGTATGGAAAAAAGGGCTGCTATTTATTGGGCCTTCTTCAGAGACCTCTGTCACTACATATCCAGGTTATTTGTTCCATTGAGGAAAAATGAAAACATAAGGAAAACATTACTGAAGTATGATAAAGGTCTGCAGTCAGACATGAATTTCAAATCCCAGCATAATCTCCTTGACAAGGGATTTAAACTGAGACTGTTTCCTCATCTGTAAAATGGGACTAATATCTACTGTTTTCAGGGCTACATGAGAATTAGAAAAAATGTATTTTAAGTGCCTGACACATAGCAGGGAATCTGTGAATGGTAACTACTATTCTTCCTCCTCCTACTACTATCTCAATGAGACTGTTTCCTCATCTGTAAAATGGGACTAATATCTACTGTTTTCAGGGCTACATGAGAATTAGAAAAAATGTATTTTAAGTGCCTAACACATAGCAGGGAATCTGTGAATGGTAACTACTATTCTTCCTCCTCCTACTACTATCTCAAGACAGTGGGAGGAATGTTTAAAAATATGGGAAAATCTACATGGCTTTTGGTAAATACCTAATATCAGAGGGAATGTGATAATGAATACATATGGCATTGGATTTAGAGGTGAGTAGTTGATTAAGGATACGTAAAGGTAAGAAAAAGCTAAATATCACTCACTCGAAATATCCATTCACAGGCATTACAATTTTATGATCCTGAAAACAGGACAAAACCAAAAAGTATCATTACTCTGGATTTGGTATACATAAGAAAAACAGGAATAATAAGTGGAAACTAAAATATCTGACATGAACAATCAGATAATGGCTAAGGCAGAACCAAAAAAAAGGGAGAGGAAGTAGGGGATTTTTAAAACTGGTATTTTTAAGATCCCACACACTTTCATATCCTCAAAACTAACTGAGTCATATAACATGAATCTGTCTGAAAAAGAGATATGGTAATTAAATCAAGAGGTACAATAAGATAATTCCATCACAAATGTAAATACAAGTTTTATATTACAGATCTAATTATGACAAAGAGGTAGAACAAAACTGAGGAGCTATATAGACTAGCTAGCTAAACTTAATTTAGGAAACTATGCCACTAACTGATCTTCTAAAACAGATGCCACAATAATATATAAGTTTTTAGTTTTAGTCTATAACTCTATGCTGTGACCCTAATATTTCTTCTATGTCATAGCTGGACATGCAATTGCCTATACAGGGAAGGCAGACGGGAAGGGATTCTGTAAGGCTGACAGGACTCTTCTAAGAATATTGATGAAAATTCTTTTGCTAGAAAGAGTTAAAGCATAAGGTGGAAAAAATCACTTGCTCCAGGAAATGACTTCTAGGAAGTATCTGGAGTCACAAAAGACTTGTGTTTGAATCTTAGCTTTGGCATTTATCAGTTACAGGACTATTCCATACCCCTGTGTTAAAAAAATCAGTGTTTCAGTTTCTCCATCTGTAAAATAGGGCAAATACAATTTATTTTGTATAGAGTAGTGAAAATTAGTGCTAATTTAAGTACCTAGCACAGTGCATTGCATATAATGAATGAGTACTCAATAAACACTGATCATACTCAAATTTCTCATTTCACATTTCTAAAACTAATTTCATGGGTCTGATGTCATAATTCTAAGCAGCAATTATCTAGCACTTCCTTTTTTCACAAGTGCTTTACAAATTGTTTATTCCAGTTAGCAATGGGTAGAGAAAGCTGTGCTGTTTCAGTACTTAAAAAGTTTTAATAATCCACATTGTAAAAACAAGAGCATCTTGTCGAGATAATGTACATATAAAGCAATTTATCTTTTTCTCCAAAAAGAAAAAAGGTATACCTTGCATTTGGACTCAGATATTATAATTGGACAATTGTACTCTTTTAAATATAAACTATTTTGAAAAAAAAAAGAAAGGAATTTAGAAATTTGGCTTGACTAGAAAACTCACCTGACTTTCTCTTTCTTTTTTAGCCATGAGTTCAAGTTCCTCTTTGGCATTACTCAGTTCTTTTTCCAGACCTGCGACTGTGTCCAAGTCTCCTAAAATGAATACATAGTGCTAGTTTTAGTCAGTATTAACATAACATAATCTCTGCTGCCTCATTTCTGTAGAATTTACTCTGAGGACACATTCCAACAATAAAATAATATACAGAAGCACAGGTTGTTCTTTGCAGCATTATTTGTAATAGCCAAATACTACAATCAGCCTACATGCTATAAAAGAAAGAGTGAATAAACTATAGTACATTCACGCAAGTGAGTACCATGTACAGCTGTTAAAAAAAAAAAAAGATCTTTATAAACTTATATGGAGTGATTTTGAAAATGTTAAGTAAAACATGCTAGATGAAAAAGAATACATCTAATTTAATATTTTTTTTTTAATTAGGAAAAGGGAGAAATAAAAACACACATACACATCACATATACACATACGATTCATTGACTTATTTTTGCAAAAAGATACACAGGAAGGATAACCCAGAAATGAAATTGGTTACCTTCAGGAGATGAGTGGAAACAGGAGAGAAGGGAAATAGGAAAATAGATGGGACTTCCGAAAATACCTTTCTGTATATTTGAGTTTTGAGCTGTGTTAACGTTTAATTTTTAATGTGTAAGTTAGTTTGACAATAATGGGGCAGAAAAGGCCTAAAAGTGAATACTTACATAAATAAATGAACCTATATAGCAAACAGATAATATAACCACCCAGAAGGTAATAAAAAAATTAATCAAGGCTGGCCGGTTAGCTCAGTTGGTTAGTGTGGTGTTCTCAACACTAAAGTCAAGGGTTTGGACTCATACTGGCCAGCCGCAAAAAAAAAAAAAAATTAAAATTAATCCAAATAAGTTTTTAACTCAGTACTTTAACTGCATAACCTCTGTGGGAAATATCCTAAGGATAAAAAGAACTACAAAAAAAATCTTAAACATTACTTAATAAATTAATTGTTGACAGTGGTATTCATGTAGTAATTCTGAAGCTAGTTTCACGTATTATAGTATTGTGCAAACGTGTAAATATTTTGAAATATGCTGAAGTTACAGGTAACAGGTCTCTCAGTGTTGGGATAAGGGAAATACAAATACAAATGAGAGAAAGAAAGAACCTGTGTTGTTAAATTGGAATTAGAGGAATAAGTATCAAATCTTCATTCATACACACACATACTTTTTTTTTTTTAATTCAATGTTAGCTCTGTTCATTTAAAAGGGCTGTTATGGGTTGAACATTTGTCCCCTCCAAAGCTCATGTTGGAAGCTTCATTCCCAATATGGCAGTGTTGAAAGCTGAGACCTTTAAGAGGTGATTAGATCATGAGGACTATGTGTTATGAATGAATTAATCCATTCATGGAGTAACGGGTTATGAGGAAACAATCAGAGCTAAACAGAGAAACATTAGCTGGCCTAGATTCTTCAAAAATGCCAATGTCACTAAAGAAAAAAAAAAAGCTAGAAAACTGTTCTAGATTAAAGGAGACTAAAGAGACATGACAACTAAGCACAGTGCATGACCCCCGATGAGGGAAAAAAAAGTATAGAGAACACTACTGTGACAAAAAAGAGCTCTGACTATAGACTGTGTACTAGGTTAAACTTCCTGAGTGTGATCATTATATTGTAGATATGTAGAAGAATGCTCTTGTTCTTAGGAAATACTCACTGAAGTAGTTAGGGATTAAGTGTCATAATGTCTATAAGAAATTCTCCAATGGTTAAGAAAAACATATCTATATATGTGTGTGTACATAGAAAGAAATAAGGCAAATGTGGCAAAATGTTAACTGGTGAATCTTAATAAAAATATATATGGGTTTTCACTATATTATTTTTGCTACTTGTCTGTAGGTTTGAAATTTCCAAAATAAAAAAGTGGGGAAAAGTATATTTTTAAAAAGGCAAATAGGGAGTAAAATAAACACAGCACTCTTTACTCTTCAACTCGTAGAAAGTTTTCCTACTAGAGAATGACTACTTGCAAGACTTTTGTATGTAATTCTCTAATCCCCTACACTATAACATTGACACAAAGTCCCTACTTCTGGAACTACCTGGGTAATATCTTCCTTGAAGCTACCCTAAATAGCAACCTTTTGCTCTGTAAAAGTCAGGCTCCAATCTAATGTATTCATTTGAGTTTTGCTTGCATCATGTACAGAATTCTGTTGTCTTTAGGCAGTTCAAGGCCTATAACCATCCCATAGATGGGGCTGAGCTAGCCCTCCCAACATTTTAATATAGGTGATGTCAAGTTATAGTGAGAAGCCACAGCCTTGAAAGATACCCAAGAGAAGGTGTCAGTTCCATGGTCCAGCTGTGTAGATTTGGAAGTACTGTTTCCTAAATTTCTGAATCCCTTCAAAGCTACTTGAAAAGGAGAATTAGAATGCGTTTCTCTGGGCCAAACTGTGAATCCAGAGCTATAACCTCAATTCAACAAAACGTAAGGGCAGTTCTTCCTGAAATAGACATGTCTTCAGCTTTTCAGGGGAATCCAAACTTTTTTTTTCCATTAAGATAGGAAAAGAAAGAGAGTCTTGGCCAAACCTATTAATACAAAGAAACAGGAAGGAAAAACAGAAGGTCCCTTCATGAAATGAAATTTGATGCTTACCCAATGTGGACCTGGGTATGCTGGCATCCTCTTTGGCAGTCAATGAAGTGCTACCATCTCTGGAGGGTATTTGTATTGAACTCTAAAAATTGAAACAGTTGGAGGATTTAGAAAGATGCAAGAACTATAATCAATGACAGGACAGGGAATATTCTCACACAATTTGGTATTAAAATTATCAAACTTACACGTCAAAAGTAAAAAGGAAATGCTGTCAGAATGAATATCTACACAAGTCTATAGTTCTTACTTGATCAGTCTGCTCTCCAAGAGGGGGGCTGTTGGAGGTAACTTCAGCTTGTTGGTTAGAGATGTGTGCTTGGGACATCATGAAGTCTTTCCCTCCTAAATATTGGCGCAGGGCCTGTAACTCTGAATTTCTTTCCATTAGGGAGTGTACCATCTTCTCTGCAGCAGCCTAGAAAGAGGAAATCACAAATAATATTAGAAAGATATTCTAGTAATTGTACTCTGGTTTAATGTCTTCAAAGCCAACCATTTATAAAAAGCCAAAGGGGCCCTAAGAAATAGTTTCCTAGCTTTCAGTTTACAGAGAAAAACATAGTCAAGTGAGTGAAAAGAAAGTCTCTCATAGGCAGAATATTGGAAAAAAAAAAAACAACTGAATATAACACCATCTATCACAGATGAGAATCTATTTTTTTTTTTTTGTCTTTTTTTTTTTTTTCGTGTCCGGCAACGGATTGCAACCCTCAGTGTCGTGCCCGTACCGGACCGGGACCAGCAACGGGATCGCAACCCTCAGTGTTGCACCCGCACCCCACTCAGCCAGTGAGCGGAAACCGGTCCGTATGCGGGATCCAAACCCTCGGCGGGAGCGCAGCTGCACTCCCAAGCGGCGCACTGTAGCAGTGCGCCACCGGGCCGGCCCACAGATGAGAATCTTAAATAGGTTCTGCTAGAACTTTATAAGGCTAAGGTGTTAAGATTCTGGTTTGAGTTAGGATAACAGGTGTTTTCCTTTACTCCGGGTTAGCTATTCCTTCAGCCTGGATTGCTCTTCACCCAAATATTCAGGTAGTTTGCTTCCTTCAGGTCTTTGCCAAATGTAACCTTATCAGACTGGCCTTCCCTATCTTATCTAAAACAGCAATCTCATTTTTCAAACGGTACAAACGTTCAGTTGTATGAAATAAATATGTTTTGGGGCTCTAATATACAGCATGGTGACCGTAGTTAATAATGCTGCATTGTTTACTTGAAATTTGCTGAGGTAGTAGATATTAAGTGTCCTCCCCACATACACACAAAATGGCAACTATGTGTGATGATAGATGTGTTAATTAATTTGACAGTGGCAATCATTTCACGAAGTATATGTATATCAAAGCATCATATTGTACACCCTGAATATATACAATTTTTGTAAATTATACCTCAATAAAGCTGGAAAAATTTTTTTAAAAAATAGACAATCTCTTCTCTACGATATTCCCCTTGCTGTGCTTATTTTTTTTCCAAGGCATTTAACATTATCTGATATATCTCTTTATTCTCTCTCCCCACCCCAACTGGAATGTAAATTTCCTGAGGGCAACTTATTTAGTGCTGAATCTCAAAAACCAAGAGTAGTGTCTAGCACATAGTAGGCACTCAATACATTATTTATTGAATGAATCAATTATACAATAAATGTTCTTATCAGACCACATGATCAGGGGAATCTGAACCCCCAAATCACCAAATCCAATTTGTTTCATTTCAAATCCCAGTTTCTAAGATGATGACACAATAAGGGAAATATCTAGAATATTATTTGTCACCATTATTGCACAGAAAGTCTGCATTTAATCAGAAAACCTGGAGATAATAAATTAATACTGAAATTACTGAGAGTATAAGATGATGAATCAGAACAATAGTAGTTATATCATAGCACCGACTACCTCTGGGGAGAAATACAATTGTTTTAAATGAGAAGCAGAGCCCTTGTCATAATTTCTAAGAGAAACAAAATAAAAAAACTTCCAATTTCAGTAAGTAAAATTTGGGTTCTTTGGAGATTTGGACATAACCATTTTAAAGGGATCAATATATTATTAATGTGCCTTAATACAAAGCTTTGTGAAAGTTATGAGAAAAAACACAATAAATAACATACAAGATATATCCTGTGATCTATCTAGCTAGGCACTCTTTTTCTAGTAGTGCTGTTTTTAGCAATGCTCCTCTAAGTGTGGTTCATGAAGCAGCAACATCACTATCATCACCTGGAAGCTTGTTAGAAATGCAAATTCTCAGTCTCACCTATACCTCCTAATTTCTATCTCTAGGGGAGGTGAGCTCAGGAATCTATGTTTTTAAAAAGCTATTCAGGTGCTTCTTTTGCATATAAAATTTGAGAAGCAGATCTAACAGAATACAACAATTATTCCTCTTGAGTTGAAAATCTCTAATGATTTCTATCTTCTCCTAAGGTTCCATTATTTTACTGCCTGCAGTGTATAATACTTCTTTTTGAGGTATAGTGAAACTAATTCTTTCAAATGACAAAGAGGTTAAAAAGAAAAAAGAAGATTTGTCAGCTTCTTGCCAGAGACTGATATAATTCACAATAATTTTGTTAGATCTATTCTAGAAGCAATTTCTGAAGCACATGGCAAGACGTTGCTAACAAAATGTGTATTACTTCAGTGAGCCTGAAATTAGAAGAATGGAATACAACCATCCCATAAGAAAGCATTAGAAAATGTTATGGTCAAATAACATAGGCAAGTAAGAATCTAGCTTCCTCTAAAAACTGAATAGGGGGATTCTGAGCAACTCATCCCTGAAGCACAAGTCAACTAGCAATCTTTAGCCTTGAGGAAAAAGATATGTGCAAATAAGGAAAAACTAGGAATTTACTTCTGAAGTAGTTATGTACCGTTATTTTGAGATTAATGTACCCCACATTATTATGAGATTATCTATTCTCATCATGGCCTTTGAAAAATACAATCTTTTCTTCCCCTTAAAATAACTCAGATTTTATAAGCATTAAGAAAAAATATGTTGAATTTAAGTTTTCCCATTTGTTTTAAATATGTTAAGTGTACGTTTTTTTCCTTGGCTGGAAATGCAAAATATCACTCAAGTCTTGATTATTCAAAATCAAAATCAAAACACTCCAGAACCCCATACCCATTTCTCTCAAAATGATCAGAGCATTAAGGAAAAGAAAATGTATGTAATGTACTTAATGGACACATGTACTATTTAGGCACCCTTCCAAAAGCAAGATGTCCAAATAATTCATACTTTGATGGTTGATGTAAAACTGTATTCTAATTAATAAACTGAAGGAAAGAAACAGATTTGACTACAAAATGATATAAATATACACGTTATAAGGCTCAAATGCTTCCTATTTGTAGACTGTAAATGCAGTGATACTTTCCTGGTCTGTGCATTAGTTCTTACTTGGCTCTCTTGCTCCCTGGTGCTCATAGACTGAAGCAGACTCTGAATCTCCATTTCATGTTCCACAGCTTGTTTGTTTCGATCACTGAGAAGGTCCTGCAGCATCCTTTCTTTTCGTTGTAGACGCTGGCACAGCTCCTCAGCTATCTCATTCTGCCCTGGTCCAAGTTTACAGAGCAATCTTGCACTAAGATCCTAATACACAAGGGACAGTGTTAAGTTTCCAGAGGAAAGAATTCCCTCTACTACATATCAAAGGGCTTATAAGAATCTATTACAGAAGAAAGAGCTGTGAGATTCTTGACATTAAGCATCCTGTTTTACTCATTTTTGTTTCCCCAGATCTAGCACAGGCCTGGCACACAGAAGGCTGTTGATATATATTCAGTGAATGAAACTAACAATACAGAAAATACCTATAGTGGCAACTTACATCTTGTTTTCTGAAATAAGTCGTTTCCCTATTTGCTCAGGGAACATGACAATTAATATTAGATGAGAATAAATGAACACTTAGTTCATTTATTTATTTTCTCCCCAGTGTAACTTTATAGGACAAGAACAAAAATGATAAGCTGAAAAGGAACATTGTATTGTGAGCATGGTGATGCAGTTCCTACTTCTATATTGAAAGATAATACATTGTGGTTAAAACTGTGGAGCCATATGCCTGAGTTGAATACTGGCACTGCTACTTATTAGCTATGTCACCCTAGACAAGTTACTTAACTACAGAAGTCTGTTTCCTTATCTGTTGAACAGGGATGTATTTCCCTCATAGACTTATGAAAGGATTCAATAGGTTAATATCCATTAAGCTCTTAAAACACTACCTGACCCAGAATGAGTACTATAACTAATAAAGGTCAGTTATTGTATTGTAGATGTATTTTTTAGATCTCATTAATTCTCACCTAACTTCTTTGAGAAAGAAAATTGTCATCTTAAGTTTATAGGAGTGCAAAAAAAGTCCCAGTGAAAGTCAATGACTTGCCCAGGCACAGAATGGAATTAAAGACTTGGGGTCACTGGCCTTTCAGACCTCAAGAGCCCTAATCCAAGGCTGAAATTATGTAATCACTAAACCAACTGCCTTTAAGTTATCTGAAGTCTTGCCTCTACTTCTTTGTTTCTGTCATGCAGAGATGTCTGTAACTGCTGAATGATACTCTCTTGTTCCTTCTGCCAATGGCTAAATTTGGCTTCCATTTCTTCTTTCAGCCACTGGAGGTTTTGACAGGTAGTAGATAACTGTTCCACTTCCAGGCCTTTGGCCCTCAGGAGACTCTCCATACTCTGCAGTCATGAAGAGAGCAACCATAAGTCAAAGGGTCACCCCACACTCCTCAGGATAAACAAGCAATTAGATCTACCTTTAATTATCTCCCAAGTTATCTCCTATCAATTTTTTTGCAGGAGGAAACAACTTAGTGTCTAACAATGCCACACCAATCTACTTGTTGTTTTCAGAAACTCTAGTTTGTGAAGAGAGATATATAAAGTACATGATAAAATGAAGTATTTTGGAGGAAGTACACTACATTATAAAAAAGTGAATGACTTCTTTAAAAAGTGGCAAAGTAGCAGATAGATACATAAGCTCTTAATTAAATATGCAAAAAAAAAGGCCACAGTAAATCTTAATAAACAAATGTTCTAATTATGGCAATAAATGGACATGTATAAAATTTAACACGTATATAATATTAATATAATAGTTGCACCCTGGCTATGCCTATGTGAAAGTATGTGTGGAAGGTGGGGGTAAATATATATATATACCTGGGTTAAAAATAAGTTAGAACTATGTAAACAGAAACCACTATTCACTGCCTTTCTCCACAAAGCTCATAATATAAAAGGCAGCAGAAGTGCTAAAACTTCTCACTTTCTAATCTACAATGATGGAACTAGTGACTACTATTTGTTTGTTTTTGTATTTTTTTTTCCTTATAAAGCAAATACCCCAGTTTTCAGAAAATGATGGTAGTGGCTGATGCTTCCAGTTTAGAATACCAGTGGGAGAGGAATATCAAGTCAATGACAGATTTTGTTCTTACTTGCATGGTAGCTTCATTGGAAGAGAGGATACCACGCAGTCTCTCCAGGTCATGATCTCGCTCTCTCACAGAAAGACGAAGATGACGCAGTTCTTTTTCTTTTCCTTCTAGAGCAGAGAACTTTTCATCTATAGCCCGCTGTAAGGAAAGTAAGGTTCCTAAAGCTCCATAGGATTCACTATCCTGATCACCCTTATTCAAAAAGATGTAAAATATAAAGGAATAGGAAACCAAATCCCAAAAGCAGCAAATTAAGTAGACACAAATTTCTATAATACCTATGTAGATAGAATAATCAATAGCATAGTGAACAAAATTATGATACATACCTCTAGAGCAATAGCTTTATCTTGTATTCGCTGCCGAAGTTTCTCAAGCAACATTTCATTTGCTTCAAGGGTTTTGTCTGAGTTATCTCGATACTTTAGGAGCTCCTGAAGTTCCTAATAAGACCAAAGAATATTTTCCTTTATTTATGTATTCAATATTAACTGAATTCCTCATCATTGTCAAGCAATTTGTTATTCAGGATAAGAAAACAAAATATAGTTACTGTCTGCAGGGAGGAGAAATTTAGCAGAGGTAATAGACATGTAAATTCTTAACTATCCTGCAACATGCAACATATAACATACACAATGCATAAATTGTTAACCATTCTGCACACCTGTAGCTAGCAACTAGGGGACCATAGGATGCATTGCCTAACTTTGCCTGAAGGTGTCAGTAAAAAATTCACAAACGAAGTAATATTTGCAGTGAATCTTAAAGGAAAAAACAAAATATAGTTACTGTCTGCAGGGAGGAGAAATTTAGCAGAGGTAATAGACATGTAAATTCTTAACTATCCTGCAACATGCAACATACAACATACACAATGCATAAATTGTTAACCATTCTGCACACCTGTAGCTAGCAACTAGGGGACCATAGGATGCATTGCCTAACTCTGCCTGAAGGTGTCAGTAAAAAATTCACAAACGAAGTAATATTTGCAGTGAATCTTAAAGGACTAGGATTCCTCAAGTGAAGAGGTAGTGGGGGTATAACTGTCAGAGAAAAAATTTATGTACAACATACGCATACTACGGAAAAAATTGTACGCTCATTGAAATATAAAGGATTCATTGTGACTGAAACTTAGACTAGGTAGTAGAACTGATCACTCTTAGTATCCCATTTTTCCTAAAACTTTCATTCTACTATCTAAATTACTCTGAGGAAGTTTCTGTACAGATGTCTTCACCTACTACACTGAGTGCAACGGCAAAATCTCTGTCACCCCAACACCTAGCATAGTGTCTGACTCAGAGAGGTGCTTAGAAACTATTTGTTGAATATTTACTAGTGAAGTCTTTCAGGTCTATATGTATTGTTTCTTATACTTACCGGTTAGCATCTTGACTCATGGACTGTATTTTCTACTTATTTTAAATCCTCCTGATTCCTACCTCTCAATATTCTGCATGTAGCAGGTTCTCAACACAGGTGGATTACTACCTTGAAATTATATGAACAAGAATTTCAGAGGTCTCCGAGCCCAGTATTCCTTGAATATCAGGTAAACTCACCTGAAGGAGCTGCTCTTTGTGATTCAGACTATGGTTTAGGTGCTGAACAGTTTGCTCCTGTGTTCGAATCTCATTGTGTTTTTCAGCCTCCAACATACGAAGCTGTTGACTCTTATTCTGCAATTCTCCTTGTAGCTGCTGCAAGGCTTTTCGCAATTCCTGAATTAAACATGTTCTTTTTTTAAAGCAATCTAAAACTTTCATAAGGTCCTTAAACACAGAGGCCTTAAATTTTTCAAGGGATACAGAACAAAATATAAAGTAGCAGAAAGTGCCATTCTTAAAATTGCTTTAGAAATATTTTACATGAATCAAATAGGACCTGGCAAAGAGTGAATATTACAGATGGGGGTAGAAAGCAAATTTGATACTATAGTCCAATATCTATTTTTTGATTTAAAAAATATAGATCTATATAACTACTAAGCGGGACTCTGTCCCACTGTAAACCTGGATCCTTTATTTTACAATAAGCCCAAGAATAGAATATTTCTACAATCCTCTTTTCTAAAGAACTCATGAAGACGATCACTCATCCTTTTAAATTTGCCATGTATGATATTTTTCTAATAATAAAATCAGTAATCTTTAAACCATCTGTTATTTTAGGCAACCCCCAAAACACATACTCATCAACTATACAAAACTCAGGAAAATGATTCCTTTAGGTAAGAACAAAAGTTAAGAATTATTTCCACCCCCATCCCTCCACTATCCCCAACCTTGCTAAGACATCTGAAGTTTCAATACTTTGAAAGGAAATTCAGGGCTAATATTTAATCTCCAAACTACTAAACCAGAGAGAGCCTTCAAAAACTATACTTTTACAACTAAGTGTTAAATAGCCCAAGAAAGGAGAGCACAAAAATGATCTTTTAAATCTTAAAGTTTTTACAAAAAGATAGCATGTTCTCTAAGCTAACAAGATAAAGTAATCATTTAAGAATTATGTATTTTACTTTTTTAAAAAAATACATGGCTAATTGTTGTTCTTCCCCCTTTTCTGTCCAGCTGACTTCTACCCATCCTTCAAGAATAACCTCAAATATCTTCTCCTTCATGAAGCTTTCCCTGACTCCCTTCCTCTGCCCTTCATAGTTATTCCTACAGGAACCCATACATTCCTCCTCTTCAGTATTTATCACATTGAATTTCTCTTTATGTGACTGTCTCTCACACTAAACTATACGTAACTTAAGAGGAAGGATCCTGTTATATTGACCCTTCTACTTCCAGGACACAGCCCAATTCAGTAGTCCTTCCTCATCTGTGGGGGATATGTTCCAAAACTCCAGTGGATGCCTGAAACCACGGATAGTATCAAACGCTATATATACTTTGTTTTCTCCTACACATCATACCTATGATAAAGTTTAATTTATAAACCAGGCACAGTAAGAAATTAACAATAACTATAATAAAATAGAACAATTATAAAAATATACTGTAATAAGTTATATGAATGCGGTCTCTCTCTCTCTCTCACAATATCTCAATATTTTCAGACCACAGTTGACCATGGATAAGTGAAACCATGGAAAGCAAAATCTCGAGGGGGGGCGGCGAATTGTATCTGGCACCTGGTAAACGGCAACAAATGTTGAACTCAATTACTTAGATTAAGCAAGTGACCCAAGGGTTCAACATAAACTGTCCTGCTAAAAAGTTATCAGGGTAAAGTCAGCATTTAGGACAAAATGGTTAATGGCTTACCCGGTTATGTTTCCAAGAAGCCTCTTTCTGCTGTTCCCGCTCATGTGCTGCAGCCTCTACAAACTGCACACATCGTTTGGCATCAGCCAGTTGGCGTTCTTTCTGTTGTACCACCCTCTGGAGCTTCTGTATTTCAAGCTGGCTGCAGAATAAAGCACTCTGAAGATCAAGCAGAGCCACCTGTTGCTGAGCTGGGGAGGTACTCTCTGAGCTCTGAAAAGAGAGTAAAATCATATCACAAGGAGGGCAAGCACTGAGCACCTGAGAAGAGTGAAGAAAAAATCAAGACTGTAACCAAGAATGGCACATTCCCAACTGGAGTCTCTCCTCCTGTCCTATGTGATCCCACATACGTGAAGTTGTCCAAGCTGGCTTTGGTGCAGCATTTCTCGAAGCTTTGCCATTGTGTCATTTTGACCTTCAATCACCTGGTACAACTCCTCAGTCTGAAAATGAAAGAGGGAGTACCAAACACGTTAGTAAACTAAATATAAACTCCATTATCTCACCTGTACAGATTTCAGTAACAGGACTATTCCAAAATACTGATTTAGGTTAAGCTGCAATTTCCCCAGGCTAAGATTTGTTAGTCTGATAATATCCCTTTCTACAAAATATCAAATACTTGTCTACTTTGATGGGACAAATTGTTTCCTCACAGATGCTAGATTACTAAATACTTTACCTCACTGTCCCTGCTTTTCAGACTTTCCTTGAGACTTTGAATTGTACCATCTTGCTTCTGAGACAACTCCTGAGCAAACTTTAGTTCACAACTCATTTCATTAAGTTTCTCTTGAAGAATCTGAATTCAGCAAAGAAAAACAGTTTTTTAGGTCAGTGACTTCTTTTAACCTCAAATGCAATCAATCTTTCCTCAAATCTAGGGTTTAAAGGATTTCTTAGGGAATATTACCTTGTTATTTTTTCACACATAAAAACGTTTAATGGTCACTACTATTAAAGTCCTAAGTCAATCAGCAAAAGAAAGTAGCAGGAAAGATGAAATACTTTCTTCAATACTCAACTGCCTCAATTCTCATGCACTGTGCTTTCTCTATGATTGCAGCCATACTAGGCACTTGTTCACATGGGTCTGTGGATCCCTTACACAAAGACCAAGGAGCTTCTGTTATCTAGTATAGGACAGGAGCATAACCAGGTCAGAAGCTCAGCATCCCAAATTGTGGCAATTTTCTTCTAAGCAGATATTAAAACCCATGGGCTATACAGGGATGACAAATTAAGCTAAAATCAAAAGTACAAACCTGTCTCAGTGCCTTTTACAGTTAAAGACTGCCTGCACCTAAAAGGTACCAGAAACTGTGATCTGTGCAAAACAAGCTAAAACCCTGATGAGAAATAAAGGGAGAACTACACTTTTAAATGAAATTCTCCCTAGAGCACCAAGAGTATTCATACCCCACATCCTACTCAGGCTAGAACCAGTCACATCCTCAGGAAAACCCTGTGATCTCCAAAGGCATAGTATTTGTCATACCTTGTTGGTGGCTTCTGTGTGGTGGATTTTTTCCTGGAGTTCTACCAAGTGGGAGTCAGATACAGACTGTTGAGATATGGTGGTCTCATCTGAATTGAGCTTTTGTTGTTTGAGAACCTCTTCAGTCATGGGCTAGAAAGCAGCAGCAAGACAAGCAAGTTGAATTAAACACAGTCAACAATAAATTTTATTTTTATCTTCAAATGTCTGTGGCATCTTTTGCCAGAGATATGGAAAACCAGAGTTGCTGCATGAGTTATTAGTATGAACTCCTGAACACAGTCCCCTTCCTCATTAAGAGCAGTGATTCACTTCCATCCTAACTAGCTCCCCCCCACTTTTCCCTACCAACTCACACAAACACTACATATTCAGTTAAAGCAAATAATTCAGAGTTTAAAGGGAGTGGGGCAGGTTTAAAAAAGAAAATGCTTACAATGACCAAATATTAGCTTCACCCTATTTTTTTTTTTTCTTTTTGTCTTTTTTCGTGTCCGGCAACGGATCGCAACCCTCAGTGTCGCGCCCGTACCAGACCGGAACCGGCAACAGGATCGCAACCCTCGGTGCTGTGCCCACACCTCGCTCAGCCAGTGAGCGGGAACCGGTCTATATGTGGGATCCCAACCCTCGGCGGGAGCACCACCGCGCTCCAGGCGGCGCACTGTAGCAGTGCGCCACCGGGCCGGCCCCGAGCTTCACCCTATTTTTAACCAGGGAATTGAAAAAGCACATTGATCAAATATACAACATTCCTAACAGAAGAAACGTTACATTCCAATTACCTTTCTTACAACATGCTTGTTCACATTATTGGAAAAATTGGCAGATTTTGAATATAGACTATATATATTAGATAATAATATTTTATCAATACCAAATTTCCTAAATTTGGGAATTGTGCTGCAGTAATGTAAGAGATTTCCTTGTCCTTGTCCTTAGGAAATACACACTGAAGTACTCAGGGCAAAGGAGTACAATACCTGCAACTAATTCTCAAATGGTTCAAGAATAAAAACAATAATGTGCACATACGGAGAGTAAGAGTGAGGAAGCAAATGTGGCAGAATATTAGCACCTGGTAAGTCTGGGTAAAGGGTATATGGGAGTTACTTGTACTTCTCTTACAACATCTCTATAAAAATTATTACAAAATAATGAGAAAAAATTTTAAATAATTTTTAAATACATACACCTACTTAAAGGTAAGTTTATAGCATATGACTGAATAAATAATCCATAATGGTCTGGGAAGGAGGTATGTTTTATAGAAATATAAATTCACTAAAAAGATTCAGGAGAAAAAAATGTATTATTTATATATGGGACATTCGATCAGACTCAGATAACCATATTGAACTACACTTAATAATCATTATGAGCTAAGGATGTTAAAATAAAACTTTATTCACTGTGGCATTAAACTCCATCTCCCCCTTACACAGCCCCTTCCACTCCAATTAGGAATATAAATCCAGTAAGAGAAAAAAGGCAACTGCTATCCATTTTTTCTTTCCCCTCACACTTTCAAAATTTGGTTACCACTTTCCAGGCAATGGAGTTATATCTTACCTTCTTTAAATCCCTTCTGGCAAGCAACTGACTGGAAGTATAAAGACTACAGAAGAAAAATATTTTCTATTCTTTCTGTGCTATTTACCAACTATTCTTACATCTACTAAATGCTATCATATGCAAAGCATCATGTGAGGCACTGTGGGGAATACAATGCTGACTAATGTAGGGTTCTGGCTCCAACGGGTCTTAGTCTATTGAGGAGGTAGTCATGTCATAAAAGTACAGAGAAAAACATTCATTTCAACATGAAGTACAGGAAAAGCTTCTTGGAAGAGACAAAATTTATCCTGGATCTAAAAAGAGGTATAGGCTCTTCACAGGTGTCAACGGTGGATAAGGAAGGACATTCTAGGTAGAAGGAACAAAAGAGGATAGTGTAGAGCTAATACAAAATGCTGACTTCCAATACCAATATCTTTATAAGCTGAGTGACCATATAATGCATTATACTTTTAAGAATTGAAAGTGTGCAATTAATAATTATGCCAGAACACTAGGCATAACCTGGGACTACCTAGACAAATCTGGATATTCTGTTTCACTGTTTATAAGCCCATAGCCTTATCTGAACAGCTCGAAGCCCAATTTTTTTCTATATTATTTGGTAAGTCAAAATCTCAAAATTCTAAAAGGCAAGAATATCAGAGAGTTGTCAAGAAATATTCTCAATTATAAATAGATAAATGAGAGGAAATGAACATAATCACAAAGGCTCTGACAAGTTGGTAGAGTATCTCATAAATGAACCTAGACTTCTGACATCATCCTCTAGAGTATAGACCTCACTGCTTATTTAGACAGAAATAAGAGTGAAACTGACCCACTGGACTTTGTTATACCTACTGCTAATATCAGTTACCAGTATGGCATTCATTAATTCCATTCATTCACTCACTCAACATGTATCTGTTGAGTACTGATTACGTGCTAGGCACTGTTTTGTACTGTACAGGACAAAGCCCCTGCTCTCTTGAAAAATATTTTGAAAGGGCTGGAGTGAGCATCTACATAATAAAGAAACAAGGAAATATACAAAATATCAGATAGTGACAAGCCCTATGCAGTATAATAGGAAAGCAGGATAGAGAGTTGGTGGTTAAGTTAGCAGAACAACAATCCAGGCAGAGGGAACAGCTAATGCAATATGAGTCTGGGCTAGAGTAGTACTTTCCAATAAAAATAGAATGTGAGCCATGTACGTAATTTTTAACTTTCTAGTAATTTTATTGAGTAAAGTAAAAAGTAGGTGAACTTAATTTTAATAAAATATTTAGCACAGTATATCCAAGATATAATATTTAATCAATATAAAAATTATTAAAGAGCTATTTTACATAATTTTTTCATACTAAATCTTTGAAATTTAAGGTATAGTTTATACTCACAGCACATCTCAATGCAGACTAGCCACATTTCAAATGCTGATAAGGCCAGTGGCTAGCTTACTGGATAGTACAGGACTAGAACATAATGGGCAAAGGAGTAACACATGACGGTGTGGAAAGGTAGGTAAACACCAGGCGATATGCAGCTTCTATACAGCGGAGTTCATGAAGCTGTATTTCATTCTAATTAAAATGAGAATGAACTGCAGTGTTAAAAGAAAAGCAACCATATTTAAATTTTCAAAAGATATCCTAACTGGTCTGTGGTGAATGGATTGTTGTGGAGCTCCTACTAGTAGAAGCAGAGAGACCAGCTAGGAGGCTACTGCAGAAGTGCAAGTGAAAGATAATAGTGACGTGGATTATAGTGATAGCAATGAAAGGGGAGATAAAGAGATGAACTTGGATACATTTTAAAAGGACTTGCTGTTGGACTGGATGGTGGGAGAGGAAGAAAAAGAAAAGAAGCAAGGATAATGACTCCGAGAAAAATTATGAGATATTTTTTGTTGTGGGTATAACAAAGAGCCTTCCCTTGAAGCAATGTGGATTATGTCACACCATGGGAGAAGTAATTATTTTAATAGATATTTACAACAATCCTAACTGACAAATTAATCATTTATTTAATGATAAAACATTCTCTATAAACTTGGTTTCTTACTTCCTCAATGTAAAACAACAATAATATATACTTTTGAAATTTAAACAGAATTAAAGAAAATAGCTTCAAGTTTAAAATGACAGGGAAGGTGGTCATATTTATTCACTTTAAACCAAAGAATCTTAGAATTGTGGAGGAAACTTTATAAACTACCTATCTGATCCAATCCTATTTTACATACAAGGGTATGAAAACTTAGAGAAGGTAAGCAATTTGTCTGAGGTTACACAGGAAACCAGGAAAAGGATCCAATTCAACTCAAGTTGGTAATGTAATTTTCATTTCTATAAACCCACTGCCTATCATAATGCCAGAAATATCATAGGGATCAAAAGTTTTTGTTTAATGAACCAGCAAAAACAATAAAAACAACAGGCCTGTCTCCTAATTCCCATTCCAATGTTCTAATCCTTCAGTGGCTCTTAGAAATAAAACACTCTAGCTCACGCTCTCCCCCTCTCCATATGCATATATGAACAGCAACTTTAAAGCCAAAGAATGCCACAAGAAAGTACATAATGAATCTGGATCTCATCTAAATCCATCTTGGCATAAATAATCATTAAAAAACCCTTAATTCTATAAATGTAATATACTGATCTAATGGCTGGAAGATGTTTGTGTCTTCTTTACTCATACTAATTTATTATTTTACATCTCAGAAAAACGTCCTTTCAGATAACAGCCTGCCAAAAGAGCACTTTGCAAGTTCCACTGAGTCAACAAGCCATAATGAATTTTTGTCAAGTATCTAGTACATAAACCAATCTCTCCTTTTCAGAGTGTATGGAGTGTGAAATCAGTAATACTTGATTTGGTAGAATCACTGTTACTCTCCAGACTATCATTTGCTAAAATTGTGTTGTAATAATATAATTTTAAATTAAGTCATTTTTGACTCAATTATGACAAATGCCTTCCAGTATCAGAAAAGAGAATTGCTTCCAGACTTGATGTTGTATAATTTAAGACAGAAAGGCAGTTATTGAGCTAAAAGGCAGTTATTTAGATCTTGGTTAACAGCATTTTTCTTGGACTTTCTAGTCCTCACAATAGTGAGTCATAGATCTCAAATTGTTGTAATTTTCTACCCTATTGTTAATAACAGGAGACAGACAAGAACCATCAACTAGCATAAAATTAAAGACCTAATCTTTGACCAGCATCTAAAGGACCTTCCAAAAGGGCCTGATCTACTTAATATAGCTAAGCTATGAATGGGATAAATTTACCACGGTCACAAAGGAGCAGACCTTGGCATTGCAAGACTTGAAGTGAAGATCTCCTGCTCTTTGAATTTAAATAGAGGGAAATTACACATGGGCCAGAGCTCTCAGAATTGCTGTTTACTAAGGGACCACACCCCTCTTATCATGGCTTTTCTAGTTCACGGCCAGATAATAAAGAAGGAAATTACCAGCTAGAATAAGGCTTCAAAACCTTTCTTTAGATATCTGAACAGCCTTGGGTCTTCAGGCATAAATTCTGTAGAAGGCAAATAATTC